TCGGTGTGGGTGTGGGTGTGGGTGTGGGTGTGAGTGTGGGGTGGGTGTGGGTGTTGGTGTGGGGTGGGTGTGGGTGTGGGTGTGGGTGTAGGTGTGGGTTTGGGTTTGGGTTTGGGTGTGCATTCGTTCTTCTACATATATGCATATATTATCAATCATCATCATTATTCAAATACAATATATATGTATAACATATATAAATCATTGATTAATCTCGGGCGCAATAATATAGACATTCATTCATTTCTCCATCACGTTAATGACTTTTCTCTATTCTCATATATTTTTTTCTTATTTTATTTCTTATTTTCTCACTTCGACTATACATTATATGACTGACCTCATTCCACTTCATAAATATTTTCATTATCTTTTTCTTTTCTTTTTCTCTATGCGCAACATATAAAAAGTGTACAAGTTATTTACTCATCTATGTTCAGCTGTATAGACACTTCTCTAAGTGTAATTCTCTACTCTTTCTATCATCAGTCTTGCTTGTACAACATATAACTCACTACATTTAACTTACTTTATTTTCTCTCCTTTTCTCTAAAATTTGTTATAAATATTCTTTAAATGATTTGCTTAATTTTTAAGATATATTGAAAAAGGCTTCTTAGGCCGAAACACGTGTCGTAATAAAATTATTATCTTAAAAATTGCAATTCTTTTATTCGGACTTTTCGAAGTCTGCAGTCTCCATATCAATAAAGTGTGTGTATTATTTACTACAGCTGATATCAGATATTATTTACCATCAAAATTATGAGTACTCCGGCTAAATGTACAAATAGAACGGAACCTTCTGTAATTGAAGATTCGTTACGTTTATTTACAAACTGGGTACATAAAAAAATATATGAACGTGATCTAACAAAAGATAAAATTACACGTCACAATAGTCAATGGAAACAACGAACTCAACAAGTATTGGAAATTGCCAAATTGAAAGAACTCTCTGCATATAGTATTAAAAATATTATATCATCATTTGAATGTTTATATAATGAAGAAGATTTCGAATTCGTTAAATATAACATTACGATGTATGCAGTTATTCGATTCAATCGTGATTTTGATATTCTATGTACAGATAAATATAATTGTTCAAGTTTAAATGAGGAACAGAAACTATTGAAAATAAATATTATAAAAATTCACGACCAACTATTTAATCCTCAACGAAAACTGACCACAGATTATATAGATAAAATATTTATAAATAATCAACCGTTCAGTAACAAATTGCAGCATTATTTAAAATTGAAGGACAATGAATTTACATTTACAAATATATTGAAATTATTATATCTACTTCAACAGACCGATATAAAGTTTCAATTTCTTCAATCACTACCTGAATTTTTCTTTATATATTATGGTTTTCCTTTTTATAATGTTGATAATAATCAATTTTATTTAGAGAAAAAACAAATGTTAAATCCTCTGTCATCTTCTACAGCAACAACAACAATAACATCAACAACAGCAATAGATAAAACATCGACAGGGGTAACAACACCTAAAACATCTGTTCAACAGAAAAACTCATCATCGCCTTCATATCCTTCTATTACAAATAATGATATATCATCACCTATTTCTTCTCGTCTTTCTTCTTCTTAACATCCATCTCCAATAAATCGAAGATTAATATTATCTCCATCACATATTCATCAAATTTCTATTCATACAACTACTATAGGTTTGAATAACAATAATGATGAAATTCAACAACAAGGAGAAGATGAAGTAGATGAAGAAGAAGAGCCAAAAAATGATTTAAATAATAATAATAATTTACAACAACAACAAACAAATAATAATAACGATTACATCGATAACAATAATGATGATGAAGAATTAGTACAACGTCTTGATCAATTACAAAATGATATGATACATATTCCTTTTTTCGTTCGTAATTCATCTTTACCATCTTCTACATTACATTCGTCTCATTCAAGTTTATCACACCGACGTCGACCTGCTTCATCAACATCAACCAATACTGATCAAATTGATCCATCACATATTAATCAATTTGAAGAATTACATCTGAAACATAAATATACTTCTTTAAATCAAGAATTAGATTGGTTTGAAATGTCTACAATAAATACTGAAAAAACAAATAACAAATATGTTAACTCATCTCAACAAACACATTTATCTGGAACAACAAAAATTGTATCAAATAAGTCGACAATTATAAATGATATGCCACCAGAAATTGTATTTAGGAATGAGTTAAATAGAAAGAAACGATATGAAAATCATTTAGCAATATTAAATATGCATAAAGAACGTAATTCATATCCATCTACATTATCATCAATGCCCCAACCAACAATTGGTAATGACAATGATATTTTTATAAAAGAATGGAATGAAATACTAAATGACTTACGTCGTCGTCTAATGAATAAAACTATTGAACATATTGAACATGTATTGAATGACATCAACGACAAAATTGAATCAGTAAGAGATTTAATAAAACCAAATAGACGTTTAGAAATAGAATCAAAAATTGATCAACTATTGAAAGTATTTATTAAAACATCATGGTGTAAAATAATTCGTCATACTATTAAACCAACAACAAAAATATCAACAGATAATAATTTTGGTTTTAAGAATGATGGCAAATTTCCTACAATAAATCATTTTAAAGATCAACCATCAGATTCATCTAATCGTACACGATCTAAATCTCCACAACAACAACAAAAAAATAAAAATAAAAACAAAAATAAAAGCAAACAACAAAAACAAGTCACATTCAGTAATATTAATAATAATAAAATTGATTCAACAAATATATCATTATCATCCAATACTCCAACCACGACAGGTAAAACAACGGCTTCTGCTACAACAACAACAACAACAACAACAACAACAACAAGAACAAATTCTACTCTTAATGAACAACAACCACAATCAAAACAAACAACAACTACAACAATAAAGAATAATAACAATAATAATACAAATTCTAATAATAATAATAATAATTATTCCGTTGGTTATTCTAATCGAAATTTTCATACATATTCAAATTATGATAATAAATATTGTGAGAATGATTCATATTATAATTCAAAATCATCTTACTATAATAATTATAATCAGAATTATAACAGAAATTATCCAAATAACTATTATCAACAATATGGACAACGAAATCGATTTTATCATAATGATAATAATAATAATAATCAACGACGAAATCAACAACAACACTATATTAATTATAGTAAGTATAATCAACAATCATATAATCAACAACAACATTATAATAATTATACTAAGTGTAATCAACAACAACAATATGATAATGTCAATCTTAATTCAAAAAACTGGTATCCCCCATATCAAGAACCAGTTCGCTTTCAACAACACCAACAAACAAAAACAGCAAACGTCCAACAACAACAATTCCCTCCAGTGGCACCACAACAAAACTTTCGACAGGATCAACTGTGGTTCCCACCTCAACAACCTCTTCCTATGATCAATTATCAACAACAACCGTTAACAACAAATCAACAACAAAATCTTTATTAATCAATAATAAAAATAATAATTCTGTATCCCTAAATTATCCTCCATTCGAACCAATTACACCATTATATGTACCTGAATGTATTCTGAATAAACCTTTACGATTTGATCCAAAATTAGCAGAATTAGAAGCTGTTCATTTATCTGATATAATCTATACAATTGGAAATATAAAATTAACACAACATGATATTAATCTATTATCGAAAGGTTTGAAATTTATACCAAATAAACCATTTCATCTAAATGATTGTCTTCGTTTGTGTCTACAAGAATTTTTATCATCTTCCAAATTATTTAATCAGATTAAAATAGACGAACTTCTTGTATCTATATTTTCAAATCGAAAAGAATTTAAAAAGAATTTATCTGAGGAAGAACAAAGTGCCCTAATTCATCTACAGACACGTACTGACATTATTATTCGTCCAGCAGATAAAAATGTTGGTATTGTAATATTAGAATCCAATGTATATGAATCAAAAGTATTACAACAACTTCAAGATACAGAATTTTATAATAAATTAAATTATATTCCTAATACACAAATATTCAAAGGTATAAAATTCGAATTAAATCAACTATTCAACAATAAACAAATTCCATATTATATTTTAAAATTATTATTACCAATAAAACCGACCTGTGCAACATTTTATATTCTACCAAAATTACATAAAATAAAATGTCCAGGTCGCCCAATTGTTTCAGGCATTCAACATGTTACATCAAATATATCAAAATACTTAGAACGTCATTTAACACCATTTATATCTCATCTTCATCAAATTGCAATAGATGAATATCAAATTGATAATTATATTGTACTGAAAGATACAAATCATCTATTAATTGAAATTGAAAACATAAACAAAGAACTCAATGATAAAAATATAAATATAAAAAACGTAACATTAATTACTGGAGACATAACATCATTATATACAAATATTGATCAAGACGATGGAATATCTACATTGACGAAATTTATTTCTTCATATACACATATTACAAATTTTCCATTATCATTAAATGCATTTGGTAAATTACTTGATTTAGTACTGAAAAACAATATATTTATTTTCAAATGACAATATTATCATCAGGTAAAAGGTACAGCTATGGGTACAGCCCTAGCTCCTCCATATGCCAATATCTATGTGTTTTGTAAAGAAATTATAGCATTAAAGCAATTCATTAGAAAATATTCATCACGTCTTCTTCTTCGTTTCTTTCGATTTCTCGAGGATATTTTCATTCTTCTTCTTTCAAATGATATATTAATTATAAATGAATTACAAAATCTATTAAATAGTACTAATCCGAATCTAAAGTATACATTTGAAACAAGTAAATCAAATATACATTACTTGGATGTAAATATTATCATTAATTCGACTTTAAATCGATTAGAAACATCACTATACGTAAAATCATCAAATACATTTCAATATCTTGAATTTTCATCTTCACATCCACGTCATATCATAAATAATATACCACTGAGTTTATCTAATAGAATTATACGTATTTGTTCGTCTACGACATCCAAATGGTATGAATTCTTCAATTTGTTTACTCGTCTATTATCTCGTGGTCATAATGCAACAAATATACTACGAAAGATATTAGAAATGGAATATTCTGATCGTCACGAACTCATTCATCGTCCAAAAAAATCCAATAAAAAAGATACACATAAAAATGTCACTATACCGTTTCATTCACAACTTCCTAATATTCGTTTATTATTACAAAATGAATTCTCAATAAACATTCCTGAAAATATTCGTTTTATATATAAATGTGATCCAAATCTTAGTAATTTACTAATCAGATCTCGTTATCCTCATTCATTCTACGATATCGTACCAGAACCAGATACCAATTCATTAGGATCTAATCGTTGTCAAAATCCAAGATGTATAACATGTAAATATATAATTGAACAAGATTGGTTTATGTCCACAGTTACAAATCAAATATTTATCATTCCTTATTCTGTTAATTGTGGTACTTCAAATCTAGTTTATTTAATTACATATACACTCTGTCATTCTCAATATGTTGGTACAACAAGTCAAACATTGAGAAACAGATTAAATCATCATCTCACTGCAATTAAAAAGAAAAACTGGCATGATACGACAGGTCCAGAACATTTCAATTCAGATCAACATTCAATTGAACATATAAAAATTATAATTATAGAAAAAAATTATATAAATGAACAACACAGATTAGATCGTGAGCAATTTTGGATAAAAACATTGAGAGCACAACTAAACGCTAATACATAGACATGCCACATTCACATGCTCTAGCCCACTCACTCACACTTTCATTTCACATACAAGGTGGGTGGGTGGGCGTGTGGGTGTGGGTCTGCATGCGTTCTTCCACATGTTTGCATATATTATAAATCATCATCATTATTCACATAGAATATATGTCAAACATTTACAAATCATTCCTTCATCTTCAGTCCAATTACATAGACACCAATTTACTCACAACGTGATTCATTTATGTTTTTCTTTTTCTTTCTTTTTTTTTCGGCGTTCTCATTTTCTCACTTCAACTATACATTACATAACTGACCTTATTTCACTTGAAAAATATTTTCATTTTTTTCTTCTTTTTTCTCTATATGCAACATTTAACCATGTACAAGTCATTTCATCTATTTTCAGCTGTATAGACACTTCTCTAAGTGTGATTCTTTATTCTTTCTATCAACAACCTAACTTGTGCAATACGTAACTCACGACCTATCTCTTACTTTATTTTCTCTTTCTCTCTAATATTACTACTAATATTCTTTAAACGATTTGTTTCATTTTTAAGATATTTTGAAAAAGGCGCTTTAAGCCGAAACACGTGTCAATAAAATCGTCATCTTAAAAATTGCAAATCTCTTATTCAGACTTTTCTAAGTCAGAATTCTCCATATCAATAGACTGG